ATTCTATTAATTTGCTTTGTCTTCAATCAGCACTGTTTTTTCAGCACAATCCAAAGTATACTGTGTATTTTTCATCCACTCCTTCCCATTGCTGCATAGCACTCCATGGAGTGCAGGCACATGGTTCACCTACCCACATGCAGGCTGCTTTCAATGCCTTGTCACCACGAAGAGCATTCATTTTCTGCAACTGAAGGAAACTGTTTTCATATCCTCAACTGGAATACAGATCGTTCGCTCCTTTAAGTCAATCTTCTTTAAGTCTAACAACTAGCTACTCCTATTGTGGAATGCAAGTGTTAAATCAAATGCAAATGGATTTCCAGTTCAACTGAACTTTTTCTTTGTTTTTAGAGATAGGGTCTTGCTATGTTGCTTAGACTGAGTGCAGTGGCTAGTCGCAGGCATGATCATAGCATACTACAGCGTTGAACTCCTGGGCTCAGGCAATCCTCCAGCCTCAGCCTCTTGAGTAGCTGGGACTACAGGTGTGAATCACTGCACCTGGCTAAAGCTGAACTTTTTCATATCAAGTATTCAAAAATAATATTTTTCCTCAAGCATACTCACCATTATACTTGTAACTCTGTTGTTTTGAATAATTCTGCTCAAAGATTCAAATCATAACCCCAGTAAGTATCCCCAATGAGCTTTGTTGTGCCCCATTTTCCCAGGTTTTGCTGTGATTCCTTAAATTTTATCAGTACACGATAACATAACTCAGCTCTTACAATTTTCCTGTCCCAATTGAAAGTTACACTGTAAACATCGTTAGCAATTGTCTTGTGTTGCTTACCTGTCTTTTCTAACTGGTAACAGACCTGACCTGTTAAAGGTGGAGAGTCTGCCACTGAGAATGGCAAGAGGTAGCTGGTTTCTTCGCTCCTTTTGCAGTCTGGCTGCTACACTTCCTCCCACCTTGCAGACAATGGTTTCTGATCCTTCTCTGGGATGGGAAATTAGGAGTGATGAGAGGAAAAAAGAGGCACAAAATTTTTGCTACTGCCAGAGTTGCATTGCCCTCTTTGGATGTAACAAAAGTTTAAAACTGGGGTTTTCTCATCTGTGATACCCTTGTTGTAGGTAATACACTCTCCTCCAGCTCAAAATTAAGATCTTGCCTCAGCCCCTTCCTCAGAGGAACTGGCAGTTAGTTCATTTGCAGACTCTTTTCATTGAGTGCCTTTTGTCCCTCAGCTTAGTCTTTGGGTGGACCTAAGTCACCCCCTAGTTTGTTCTTGCACAAAATCTGCCCCTGGTCCTTGAGCTCCATCCAGGCATGTTTTAGGCCCCTCCTACCACAACAGAAATCTCTCCTTGACCAGCTCTGAAGAGCAGCTGACCAGCTCAGCTCCCGTCTCTCCTGATCCCTGATTAAGAGGCAGAGGCCAGTCCTCTGTGAGTTCTCTGTGTCTCCCATACCATAAGAGGACACACATTTCTGCATTCCCATCAAAGTTCCATTCCCAGGGCTTAAGGAGAGTTTAGACAGTTTCATTCTCCAGCATTTCCACATGGAGAGAGAGTGAGACTAACAGAACATCAGCAGTTCTCTACAAAAGCACTCTCCAAGTTTCCTTCAGTCTCCACTGACACAGGTGAGGGGTGGGACATCGTCTCACTGGCTCTCTGCCTCTCCTTTCTGCATGCCCTGCACAGTTGCGGTCATCACATTTCACTTTGGCATTGCGTGTCCAGGGTCTTAGGGTCTCAGATGAAAGATTCTTGGAACATTCTGTTGCATGTACATTATGATGTCTAGGCTGTGGCGGGTTGACAGCTTTTGATGAAAACAAGAGAAGTTGACAGGAAAACAAAAGCATGCACACTGTGTAAAAACCTGTGGTCCAGCTTGTCTATGATTCTGCTTCTAACATGGTCCCCTCCTGCAAAGTGTACCTGCTCTCTGTAAAAATGACATTAAAAATAAGGAAAATCCCAGCTTCTCTTAGTAGCCATATGCAGCTCTATTTCTTCTCATATTAATGCGTTCTTTTCGAGGTCTATTTTTCTGTGAGTTTTCTGCAAGGATGAAAGGGCTAGGGTAGGGGTTTGTTACCAGAAAAAGGATCTTGGCCCAGACCCCAAGAGCGAATTTAGGGTCTTTATTTAGTTAGCATCATTAACTTGTTCCCTCAACCTTAAATATCTTGTGACCAAGACTGCCCAATCCCCTGGGAATGTCACCCATAAGGTTTGGGTTTATCTAGTCTCTATTCAGGATGGGGGCACTCTGGTTAGGACCACCCTGAAAGGTTCACTAAAGCACCAAGGGCTCCTCCAGTGCTAAGAGCAGGAGAAGCAACGCCACCCCAACACACAGGAAACACCAGACTTGAATGGGCAAGATTCCAGCATGAACTATGAGATCCAAAATGTCCAGTTATTAGGGGATGTTACCCCAGGAAGGCGCTGAAGTCAGCCTATGACACAAAGCAGAGGACTTGCAACCAAGGGCATAACATTTCTTTAAAAACAAACAAATGAGTTTTTCTGGCAAGATGGCCACATAGGAACAGCTTTGGTGCACAGCTCCCAGCAAGGGAGACGCAGAAGGCCGGTGATCTCCACATTTCCAACTGAGGTACCAGGCTCATCTCATTGGAACTGATTATACATGGGGTGCAGCCCAAGGAGAACAAGCAGAGGCAGGGTGGGAAGTGCAAGGGGCCGGAACTCCTACTCCTAGCCAAGGGAAGCCATTAGGGACTTTTCCTGGCACTCTGTCACTTTGGATTAGATACTGGGTTTTTCCCACAGTCTTCACAACCTGCAGACCAGGAGATTCCCTCCGGTGCCTACAACAACAGCCCTCTTTTGTTTCCAGCACAAAACTGTGCAGCCATTTGGGAAGACACTGAGCTAGCTGCAGCAGGTTTTTTTTTTTTTTTTTCCATACCCCAGTAGTGCCTGGAATGCCACCAAGACAGAACCGCTCATTCCCCTGAAAAAGGGGGCTGAAGCCAGGGAGCCAAGTGATCTGGCTTGGCAGGTCCCACCACCAGGAAGACCAGTAAGCTAAGATACACTGGCTTGAAATTCTCACACCCAGCACAGCAGTCTGAGCTCCACCTGGGACGTTCAAGCTCGGTGTGTGGAGGGACATCCGCCATTGGTGAGGCTCAGGTAGGCAGTTTTCACCTCGCCTATGTAAACAAAGTTGCCAGGAAGTTTACACAGCAACTGTGCCAAGCCCGCAGCAGCTCAGCAAGGCCACTGTGTCACTAGACTGTGTCACTAGACTCACTCCTCGTTAGGCAGGGCATCTCTGAAAAAAGGCAGCAGCCCGTCAGGGACTTATAAATAAAGACCCCACCTTCCTGGAACAGAGCACCTGGGAAAAGGGGTGGTTGTGGGTACAGGTTCAGCAGACTTAAATGTCCCTGCCCAGCAGCTCTGAAGGGAGCAACAGATCTCCCAGTACAGTGCTTGAGCACTGACAAGGGACAGACTACCTCTTCAAGTGGCTCCCTGACCCCCATGTATCCTGACCAGGAGACATCATCCAGCAGGGGCTGATAGACACATACAGGAGAGCTCTGGCTGACATATGGCGGGTACTCCTCTGAAATGAAACTACCAGAGGAAGCAACAGGACCTTTGCTGTTCTGCAGCCCCTACTGGTGATTCCAGGGCAAGCAGGGTCTGGGGTTGACCTCCAGCAAACTCCAGCAGACCTGCAACAGAGGGGCTTGACTGTTAGGAGAACTAACAAACAGAAAGAAATAGTTTCAACATCAACAGAAAGGACGTCCACTCAGAGACCCCATCCAAAGGTCACCAACTTCAAAGACCAAAGGTAGATAAATCCACAAAGATGGGAAGAAACCAGAACAAAAAGGCTGAAAACTCCAAAAACCAGAATGCCTCTTCTCCTCCTAGGGATCACAACTCCTCACCGGCAAGGGAACAAAACTGGATGGAGAATGAGTTTGATGAATCGAAAGAAGCAGGTTTCAGAAGGTAGGTAATAACAAGCTTCTGCAAGCTAAAGGAGCATGTTCTAACCCAATGCAAGGAAGCTAAGAAAGTTGAAAAAAAGGTAAGACAAAATGGTAACTAGAATACCTAGTGTAGAGAAGAACATAAATGACTTGATGGAGCTAAAAAACACAGCATGAGAACTTCATGAAGCATACACAAGTTTCAACAGTCAAATCAATCAAGCAGAAGAAAGGATATTAGAGATTGAAGATCAACTCAATGAAATAAAGTGAGAAGACAAGATTCAAGAAAAAAGAGTGAAAAGAAATGAACAAAGCCTCTAAGAAATACGAGATTATGTGAAAAGACCAAATCTATATTTGATTGGTGTACCTGAAAGTGATAGGGAGAATGAAACCAAGTTAGAAAATACTCTTCAGGATATTATCCAGGAGAACTTCTCCAACCTAGCAAGGCTGGTCAACATTCAAATTCTGGAAACACAGAGAACATCACAAAGATACTCCTGAAGAAGAGAAACACCAAGACACAGAATCGTGAGATTCACCAAGGTTGAAATGAAGGAAAAAATGCTAAGGGAAGCCAAAGAGAAGAGTTGGGTTACCTACAAAGGGAGAGCCATCAGACTTACAGTGGATTTCTTGGCAGAAACCCTGCAAGCCAGAAGACAGTGGGGGTCAATATTCAACATTCTTAAAGAAAAGAATTTCAACTCAGAATTTCATATCCAGCCAAACTAAGCTTTAAGCAAAGGAGAAATAAAATTGTTTATGGATAAGCAACTGCTGAGAGATTTTGTCACCACCAGGCCTACCTTACAAGAGCTCCTGAAGGGAGCAATAAACATGGAAAGGAACAACCAGTATCAGCCACTCCAAAAACATGCCAAATTGTAAAGACCATTGACATTATGAAGAAACTGCATCAACTAACAGGCAAAACAACCAGCTAGCATCAAAATGGTAGGATCAAATTCACACACAACAATATTAATCTTAAATGTAAATGGGCTAAATGCCCCAATTAAAAGACACAGACTGGCAAATCGGTTAGAGTCAAAACCCACTGGTGTGCTCTATTCAGGAGACCCATCTCACGTGCACAGACACACACAGGCTCAAAATAAAGGAACAGAGGAAGATTTACCAAGCAAATGGAAAAAAAAATAAAAGCAGGGATTACAATCCTAGTCCTTAATAAAACAAACTTTAAACCATCAAAAATCAAAAGAAACAAAGAAGGGCTTTACATAATGGTAAAGGGATCAATGCAACAACAAGAGCTAACTATCCTAAATATATATAAACCCAATACAGGAGCAGCCAGATACATAAAGCAAGTTCTTAATAACCTAGAAAAAGACTTAGACTCCCACACAATAATACTGAGAGACTGTAACACCCCACTGTTCAATATTAGACAGATCAATGAGACAGAAACTTAACAAAGATATCCAGGACTTGAACTCAGATCAGGACCAAGCGGACCTAATAGTCACCTATAGAGCTCTCCACCCAAAATCCACAGAAAATACATTCTTCTCAGCACCACATCACACTTATTCTAAAATTGACCACATAATTGGAAGTAAAACACTCCTTTGCAAATGCAAAAGAATGGAAATCATAACAGTCTCTCAGACCACAGTGCAATGAAATTAGAACTCAGGACTAAGAAACTCACTCAAAACTGCACAACTACATGGAAACTGAACAACCTGCTCCTGAATGATTACTGCATAAATAATGAAATATAGGCAGAAATAAAGATGTTCTTTGAAACTAATGAGAACAAAGATACAATATACCAAAATCTGTGGGACACATTTAAAGCAGTGTGTAGAGGAAAATTTATAGCACTAAATGCTCACAAGAGAAAGGAGGAAAGATCTAAAACTGACACCCTAACATCACAATTAAAAGAACTAGAGGAGCAAGAACAAACTCAAAAGCTAGCAGAAGACAAGAAATAAGTAGGATCAGAGCAGAACTGAAGGAGAGAGAGACACAAAAATCCCTTTAAAAAACCAATGAATCCAGAAGCTGGTTTTTTGAAGAGATCAACAAAATAGATAGACCTCTAGCCTGACTAATACAGAAGAAAAGAGAGAAGAATCAAATAGATGCAATAAAAAGAGATAAAGGGGATATCACCACCAATCCCACAGAAATACAAACTACCATCAGAGAATACTATAAACACCTCTATGCAAATAAACCAGTAAATCTAGAAGAAATAGATCCATTCCTGGACACTTACACCCTATCAACACTAAACAAGGAAGAAGTTGAATCCCTGAATAGACCAATAACACAATCTGAAACTCAAGTGGCAATTAATAGCCTACCAACGAAAAAAAGTCCAGGACCAGACAGGTTCACAGCTGAATTATGCCAGAGGTACAAAGAAGAGCTGGTACCATTCCTTCTAAAACTATTCCAAACAATAGAAAAAGAGGGAATGCTCCCTAACTCATTTTATGAGACCAACATCATCTTGATACCAAAACCTGGCAGAGACACAGCTGAAAAATAAAATTTCAGGCCAATATCCATGATGAACATTGATGTGAAAATCCTCAAATAAATACTGGCAAACTGAATCCAACAGCACATCAAAAAGCTTATCCATCACGATCAAGTCAGCTTCATCTCTGGGATGTGAGTCTGGTTCAACCTACATAAATCCATAAACGCAATCCCTCACATGAACACAACCAAAGACAAAAACTACATGATTATCTCAATAGATGCAGAGAAGGCCTTTGGCAAAATTCAACAGCACTTTATTCTAAAAACTCTCATTCAACTAGATATTGATTGGATACATCTTAAAATAATAAGAGCTATTTATGACAAACTCACAGCCAATATCATACCTAATGGGCAAAAACTGGAAGCATTCCCTTTGAAAACCAGTACAAGACAAGGATGCTCTCTCTAATCACTCCTACGCAACATAGTATTGGAAGTTCTGGCCAGGGTAATCAGGCAAGAAAAAGAAATAAAGGATATTCATCTAGGAAAAGAGGAAGTCAAACTGTCTCTATTTGCAGATGACATGATTGTATATTTAGAAGACCCCATTGTCTCAGCCCAAAGTCTTCTTAAGCTAATAAGCAACTTCAGCAAAGTCTCAGGATACAAAATCAATGTGCAAAAATCACAAGCATTCCTATACACCAATAACAGACAAATAGAGAGCCAAATCATGAATGAACTCCCATTCACAATTGCAACAAAGAGAATAAAATACCTAGGAATACAACTAACAAGGAATATGAAAGATCTCTTCAAGGAGAACACAAACCACTGCTCAAAGAAATAAGAGAAGACACAAACAGGTGGAAAAACATTCCATACTCCTGGTTAGGAATAAGCAATATCATGTAAATGGCTATATGACCCAAAATAATTTTTAGATTCAATGCTATCCCCTTTAAGCTACCACTGACTTTCTTCACATAATTGGAAAAAAACACCTTAAATTTAATATGGAACCAAAAAAGACCCCACATAGCCAAGTCAATTCTAAGAAAAAAAAAAAGCTGGAGGCATCATGCTACTTGACTTCAAATTATACTACAAGGCTGCAGTGATCAAAACTACATGGTACTGGTACCAAAACAGAGATATAGCCCAATGGAATAGAACGGAGGTCTCAGAAATAACGCTACACATCTACAACCATCTGATCTTTGACAAATCTAACAAAAACAAGCAATGGCGAAAGGATTCCCTATTTAATAAATGATGTTGGAAAAACTGGCTAGCCATATGCAGAAAGCAACTGGCTCCCTTCTTTACATCTTATACAAAAATTAACTCCAGATGGATTAAAGATTTAAACATGAGGCCTACCACCATAAAAACCCTAGAAGAAAACACAGGCAATGCCATTCAGGACATAGGCATAGGCAAGGACTTCATGACTAAAACACCAAAAGGAATGGTAACAAAAGCCAAAATAGACAAATGGGATCTAATTAAACTAAAGAGCTTCTGCACAGCAATAGAAACCATCATTACAGTGAACTGGCAACAAACAGAATGGGAAAAAGTTTTTGCAATCTACCCATCTGACAAAGAGCTAATATCCAGAATCTAGAAAGAAACAAATTTACAAGAAAAAAAACAAACAACCCATAAAAATGTGGGTGAAGGATATGAACAGACATTTCTCAAAAGGAGACATTTATACGGCCAACAAACACATGAAAGAAAGCTCATCATCACTGGTCATCAGAGAAATGCAAATGAAAACCACACTGAGATATTATCTCACACGTTAGAATGGCAATCATTAAAAAATCAGGAGACAATAGATACTGGAGAGAATATGGAGAAACAGGAACGCTTTTACACTGTTGGTAGGAGTGTAAATTAGTTCAACCACTGTGGAAGACAGTGTGCCGATTCCTCAAAGATCTAAAACTAGAAATACGATATGACCCAGCAATCCCATTACTGGGTATATACCCAAAAGATTATAAATCATTCTGTTATAAAGACACATGCACACATATATTTATTGCGGCACTGTTCACAATAGCAAAGACTTGGAATCCATCCAAATGCCCATCAATGATAGACTGGATAAAGAAAATGTGGCACATATATACTCATGGATACTATGCAGCGGTAAAAGAAGAGTTCATGTCCTTTGCAGGGACATGGATAAAGCTGGCAACCATTATTCTCAGCAAACTGACACAAGAACAAAAAACCAAATGCTGACTGTTCTCACTCATAAGCAGGTGTTGAACAATGAAAACACATGGACACAGGGAGGGGATTACACAACGGGGCCTGTCTGGGTGTGAGAGGCTAGGGGAAGGGTAGCAGGGGGTGAGGGTATAGGGGAGGGAGGGCATTAGTAGAAATATCTAATCTAGATAACAGAGTGATAGATGCAGCAATCCACCATGGCACGTGTATACCTATATAACAAACCTGCACGTTCTACACTTACAGTGTAATTAAAAAAAAAAAAAGATTGGACTAAAAAAACGAAATAAAAAAATAAGCAGTTTAAAATAAACAAATAAATACAAAGAATAAGAGTTGTTTGTATACTTTTTGGCAACTTTTGAAAATTTTTATTTGTGCTAATTATCTGGACATTAAAAATATTATAAGGAAATTACCTCAGTACATTTTCACATATTTTGATCAGTTTCTTAGTTGTACCTCCTTGTCAATGGCATTTCTCTAAAGACTTTTTATTTAGTGACTAAACCAAGATTAAAATTCTAAGTCCCCTCAACTGACTGAATGGACTCCCCTCCGCCAGCCAAGGGGATTCCAAAGAAACCTGAAAAACCAGTTCTTGCCATGGTGAGAAGTGGGGTCGGACATGCTTCATTATACCCACTCCCTTTTGGAGTTTAGACACAACTGACCAGTATTCACATTAAAACAGAGATTGTAAGACTCACCGGACAGATTCTTTGTAACAATCAGACACCAGTGTCAACCTGACTCAGCTACAACATCATATGTCACATAACAGGCCCTAAAGGAAATCATGCTATTTTACCCTAAAGTATATTTCTTTGACATACTCTGAAATGGCCCTGAAAAGCTGTCTTTTATGGGGAAAATTTACATCCTGTAGAGAATCCTTTTCCCTTTCCAGGTCTTTTCCTGATCCAGGGGCAATTTAGCTAAGTCTGACACATTTTAAGGTCTGATAAGAGACATTTGTCATCTGTTCTGTCTGAAGCCTTCTACCTGAACCTTAACTTCCACAACTCCTCCACCCCCACTGCCATCCCAGCATTTACCTTAATTCAAGCTGATGTCAACTCTTCAGGCAGAACTTAACTCTTTCAATCAACTGCCAATCAGGAAAGCTTTGAATCCATCTAGGACCTGGAAGACCCTCCCACCTGCTTCAAGATGTCCTGCCTTTTTTGCCTGAACGAATGTATATCTTAAATGTATTGATCTATGCCATTGCCTGTCACTTCTCTCTCCCTAAAATGTATAAAATCAAGCTATAACCCAGTCACCTTGGGCATATGTTCTCAGGACCTGGTGAGACTGTATAACTGGCCATGGCCCTCAACTTTGGCAAAATAAACCACTAAATCAGTTTAGACCTGTCTCATACTTTTTGGTATACAGGTATCATTATCATTAGTTTTCTTTCACAAAAT